GTCGGCGGGGGGGGGGATGCGCGATGGGATGTGCCTGCCTACCCCGCCGGCGAGACGTCTACTCGGTACGGTCTTCTCTTTCGCAGGTGGCCTTCCTCAGAGTTTGAGCGGCAGCGAGACCGACGTGTCCACGTCCAACGAAAATCTCAGCAACGAGGAGAGGTATGTCATAAGGCATACGGCGCGGCAGGAGCCGCAGGGTCAGGAGAATCAGCAGCAGAGCCCCTCGAGGTCTTCCAGTCACAAGGAGAACATACCAAATATTCAGGTGCATCCCCGAGGCTTATTGCAAGAGCTATGAAAGTGTTTCGACCGCCGAACAGCGGAGCCAGCTGAAGGACTTGCCATAACAGTGTGTTGGCCACCCACATTTTGTAACAACGGAGAAAATTAAGTCTAAAGTTAAAGTGATGGACGTCAGAGTTTATTTTTCCGTTTTTTTATAAAACGTAAAATGTGGGCTAGCCCACTGTGGCGGCAAGCCCTTCAATTTGCGCGAATGTGTTCCTTGGCAATTGTCAGTGTGTCGTCTTGTCGTCTAATTCTTGTGATCTGTCGCGATGCAGGGTAACCTACATAATAACAGGAACAGCCTGAAGGAGAGCTTGAACGGGTCCAACAGGAACAGCCTGAAGGAGAGCCTGAACGGCTCCAATCGGAACAGCCTGAAGGACAGTATCAATGGATCGAATCGGAACAGTTTGAAGGACAACCTGAGCAACCGCACCAGCGGCTCGAACCGGAGCAGCCTGGACGTCTCGACGAGTTCCTACAACACGTTAATTATACACAACGCCAACGACGACAACTCGTGGATACCAACTGGAAGGTAAGCACCGCGCGTTTTTTAATTAATGACCTACCAAAGAGATTACTGACGCATCTGCGCGAACAGGCTGTCGGGTATAGTGAGAGAACATGGAGACGTGGGTTACTTGTACTGCGACGGAAAGGGCCATTCCAACAGTCCCACGATACAGTCCCTGTCCAATCTGCCGCACGAGGATTACGTTCACGAGCAATCTGGCGGTGGTTGCCAAGAAATCACGGACATCCCGGATGATTATCTTAATCAGTCTCAGGTATGGTCTACCGTGAGCGATTAGTACGGTAATTAATTGGATTAATAATCGATACGCGAATGACTTATAGTGACAGCAAATATACAGGATGAGGTATCTGAAACGAAACAGCGGAATATGTCAAAAATTAAAGGGGGGTCAAAAATTAAATAATGAAATAAAATATATCTAATCTAATAAAGATCCTATTCTATTTAATCTATTCTATCATATCTAATCTAATAAAATCTAAAATTCCCCAAAAAATCGATTTTTCAAAGTCACACGGAGCTCACCTTCACTTTTTTGGAATGATATAATTTTGTTACATAATGTCATTTCTCTGATTATTTTACATGTAAAAATATTAAAGTAAACTTGTCTAAAAATCAATACTTTACCTTATCATGCCACATTTCAACATATAAAATATAAAGTATATCTCGTAAACAATTAATTTCTTGACAATTGTATCTTAATACTTTTATGCATAATTTGCTTCAAATCATACAACTTTTTGTCTGAAACATTTTTACTTGGCGAGTTTAGTTTTCGACTTTATATTCCGGTGTTTCATTTTAGATCCCTCATCCTGGTGTGTATATATATAATTCGAAGTTAAATATAAAATAATACGTATTTCAAATTTGATTTCGGTCTACGTATTCGCAGGTCTTGAAACATCTGGCGAAAGAGGTGAAAGTGCCACCGTATCCCAACAGCAGTGGCAGTCTAGAGATGAGATTAGGAGAGATAAGAATAAGAGATGGGGGGAAGCAGAACGACAGCGAGTACGAGGGCAGGTCGACACCGTGCTACGTACCCTCACTGTTCAAAAGCAAACACAGGCTCTTCGCACCGACGGAAAAGCTGACTGTGTCGCGATCGCAGCCGGATCTGTCGAGGATCAAGAAGGACATCGACAATTACAACCTTCGAACAATGTCGCCCCGGTAACGCAATTTAATAAATTATTTTATGCCGCGCGCAACAAACGCCGCGATATCTAACGCGGCTGGATATCCCCCCCACAGACCGCAGACTAAGGGCCGCGAGGAGTTGGAGAGGGAGGCGGGCGACGTGTGGCCGTCGGCGGAGATGATTCAGATTGTGATCCAGGAGAACAGCGCGTTGAAGCTCGAGCTGGATCACTGTTACAACAAGGTCGCCAAGACGCAGAAGATGGAGCAGGAGATCGCGAAGGTGCATCGCGTTCACGAGGAGCTCGCGGCGTCCTGCGAGCGGCGGGAGAAGCTGGAACGTGCCGCTCGGCTGAAGCTGCAGACCGAGTGCCGTCGTTTGACCGAGCTGAACCGCGCGTACCGAGACCAGATCGACCTGCTGTCCGCGCGCACGGACAGCCCGCCGATCGTCGAGACAATGCGGAAGGAGCTGTCGCAGCGCGAGCTACTCATCGGACAGCTCCTCACTCAAAGTGCGTATCGTCACGCTCGCGCAAAGTAAAGCTGTGACGTCTCGTTCTTCAATTTATTTATCTTTTCGCGTGTCTTTAGATAAAGAATTGACCGCGGCGAAGGAGAGGCAGGAGATTGAACTGGCGGCCCAGCGAGCAACTTTGCAGGAGCAACGTACGCACATCGACATTCTGGATACCGCGCTGACGAACGCACAAGGCAACGTCGTGCGGCTGGAGGAAGAAGTAAATTGATTTATTAATAACGCTAAAAAGTCAAATAATTATATAAAAATTAAATTATATATATAGATATATAATTTATACTTTATATATATATATATATATATATATATTTGGTTACTTGATTATTTATGTATAGAGAATTATTTTTATAAATTATATATATGATATATATATAATTAATTATTTACGAATTTCTCTTTTCTTTTTAAATAAGATTAAATTAGATTTATATATATAATTAATTATTTACGAAATTTCTCTTTTTTTTCTAAATAAGAATAAATTAGATTTATAGATTTAACTTAAAGAAATTCTTATAAAATTTGATTATTTATGTATAGAGAAATATTTGTATAAATTTGTATTTTTATATATTAGATATATAATTATAAAAATAATTCTATTCTCTATACATAAATAATCAAGTTTTATAAGCCTGAATTTCTTTAAGTTAAATTTATAAATCTAATTTATTTAAATAGGAAAGAGAAATAAAACTTGATTACTCATGTATAGAAAATTATTTTTATAAATTATGTATATTATATAATATATATAATTTATAAAAATAATTCTATTCTTTGTATATAAATAATCAAGTTTTATAAGCCTAAATTTCTTTAAGTTAAATTTATAAATCTAATTTATTTAAAAAGGAAAGAAAAATTTCGTAAATAATTAATTATATTTTTAACAATCATATTTTGTAGATATTGATTAAAAGAATCGTTTCTGTATATTTGTACAGTGTCGAAAGAAGCAAGTTTACGTTGAGAGAGTGGGCCAGCTTCAGCGGGCCTTGTCCTCGCTTCAGGCGTCTAGCGATAGACGCGAAGAGACCGAGAGACAACTGAGGGGCCAGCTGGAGAGGGAGTTGCGCGAGGGCGGCGGCGGCGGTGGCGGCGGTAACGGCAACGAGCAGTCGTCGAGCGGCGAGACGATCGCGGAACTGAAGCGACGATTACGCGAGCGGGACGAGAAGATCATGTCGCTCGAGGGCGACGTCGCGAAGTGGGAACAACGCTACCTCGAGGAGAGCGCGCTGAGGCAGGCGGCCATCGACGCTGCGAGTTTGCCGAAGTGAGTGGAGCTCTGCACGCTTAGAGTTCGTCCCTTCCCGTTTACGCTCGCTTACTTCTTCCTCACGCTCTCTGTTTTATTTCCGTGATTTCCAGAGACGCGAAGATCGCCGCTCTGGAGAAGACCAGTCAGGACGCGGAGAAATTAATCGCCGAGGCTCGCTCGGAGAAGATGAGACACATGGACGAAGTGCACGCCGCGCAGAAGAAGCTGGCCGATCTCGAATCTAGGTAAGAGGAATCATACCCGTGAATCGAGTCTCCGCAGCGGTCGCTGTATTCACTGAAGGTCGATCGCACGTAAATGATGACCGCATGTTTCCTCGCTCCAACAGAATGAAGGATTTGGAGTCCAAGCTAGCCGAGAGGGACGCCATGATCAGGGTGCTGCAGAAGCACACGTACGACAAGGCGGACAGCAGTAGCAGCAGCGGCGTGGGCAGCTACCCCGCCGCGCACTCGTCCCACTCGAGCACGTCGGCGGATCATCACACCGCGCTGACGAGCACGCCGGAACTCGGTAAAGAGAGCCTTCACCCTGGACCCGTCACTCATAGTCGGCTTAAGCTCACTCACAATTACCCGTCGTTAATAACCCCATCGCGAATCACGGTGACATACCTGTAGTAACGCCTCTCTTCTCCCCTTTTCTTTTTTTTCCGCACGAAAAGTGAGCAGCGTACTCGGCGGCGGCAGCGGCTACGGCAGCACCGGCTCTTACGGCGTTACCGACAGTTATAAGTATAGAAAGCAGGGCAGCTTCGAGCAGACTAATAAGAGTCTCGACGATCAACTGAAAGAGCTAGACTCACAGCTGCTTAGCAAGGTAGGCAGAAACTAGGTGGTAGCGTGTAATTCCGTTGTCGCGATCGTTCTCCGACCGGACGATCGATTCACGAGGAGCTTCCCCGAATTCTTGAATCTCGCGAATCGTCGGATTTCACTTCGCGCTCCGCGTTGTATGTGCCTCGCGTCACATATATTTATTTATCCACGATCACACACACGTGCGCGCGCTGTCCGACATCCATTTGTCATCTTGCTCACATTGATGTTTTTAACCATGTTCTCTTTTTTTTTTCCATCAATAGAGATATACACGTGTTAATTTAACGGACGATCGTTATTTTGAGTTCTTTAGCAACCACTTTTAATAGTCGCCGCTGAATCATGCAAATATTACAGGTCACACGTACGAAGGTATCCTTGCGTTGCTGTGTATGATGGGTGCTCTCCGGAGCACCTTTCGTCAGCTCGATCGTGTTTTCTTTTTTCTTTTTTTTTCTTGTTAAATCGCGAGAGAATAGTCAGCGTGTACGTATTTGTAAGTTGAAGGAGAAATCCCAAGAGCGGGTCCACAGTCGCTTCTCAAACGGCAGCAAATATTTGATGCAGTCGGAACGAGTGACATGCCGACTATTCTCTGGCTGGAGTTACTTGAAAGTTGATCGCATAACTTTTTGTGTGATTTAACAGAGCTTAAACCTGTATTTTATTTTTATTTTTTATACTTCTTGAGAGAATTTTATTGTGTGACACTTTTAATTTTCTCCGAATAACTTTCGCTGCTTTTTTTTTATACACATGTTGTGTGTGGCGCAGAGCATTTTTTTTGTGCCGTTTGTTTTATTTTTATTTATTTAATCGAAATATACATGTATTTAACCGTTTGCCGAAATTATGCTCGAGTAGATAGAAGAAAGAAATATCACGTTTTACACAGATTAATCTCTCTCATTTTTTTTTCTTTTTCGAATTGTTCCACTAATCCCTCCTCTCTCTGGACTCTCTCGCCCTCTCTCCCGTCTCTCCGTATCTCTCCCCCCGAATGTGCATGTGCGAGCGTTTTATACGGCGAGCACTAACCCCTTTTCCAGGTCCCGGCCTCCTGTCTGCAACCCGTGCGGGTTCTCTCTTTCTTGTTTCAGCGGGCACTTTGCTGTTTTCCAGGATTCTCTAATCCAGGCACTGCGTCGCGAAAAGGAAAAATACCCAAGCCACTACTGGCGGGTGTAGATAGCACAGGTACCTCGAGCACCGCCTCGAGCAAGAGCCGGCTGCTGGACGACTCGTCCGGCAGCGGCGGCGACGTGGTGTCGTCGAGCATAATCGAGTTCGCGAACGCGGCGGCCAGGCTGAAGGGCACCATCTCACGGCTGTCGGACGGCGCCGGCGGCGGCGGCAAGCCGACCGAGGACATGATGCTGCTCGAGAAGCAGGGCAGGAGCTCGCAGCGGCAGCGGATGACGGTGGAGGTGGGCGGCGAGCCGCGGCGCGCCGGCAGTCTGCCGCCGAGCTCGCTACCGCGTCCGCCGAGGGCACTCAAGGCGACCAGCGCCAACTCCCGCTACTGCCGTCTGAGCGACACGGAGACGCGCAAGAAGTCGGACCCCGGGCCGGGGATGCTGGACACGTCGAGCGGTGGCGCGGTCGGTGGCGGTGGCGGCGGCGGCAACGGCGGCGGCAGCTGTGGCGTGAAGGTGACACGTGACTCCTCCGGCAACTGCAGCATCGAGTACGGTAGATTCGACACCGGCGCCGCCGTCGCCGCGAAGGCGTCGCGCAGCAGGAAGAAGACCTCCATGGAGAACTTCATGGCGAACAGCTCGCTGAAGAAATCGTCGACCGGCTCGGGGATGACAAGCGGCGGCAGCGGCGGCGGTGGTGGTGGAGGTGGCCACGAGTACGAGAGGCTGCAGTCGCACGAGACGGTCAGCAATCGCAAGAGGTCGGTCTGCGCGTTGGAGTCTGCGGTGCGGCACAGGGAGATGCAGAGCCGCTCGTTCATACCGCCGCCGTCCCGCGGCCGCATCGGCGAGTACGGCCGCCTGAGCGACGGCGAGCCCTCCTCGTCGGTGGCGGCGGTGGCGGCGGCCGCCGCGGCGGCCGTTCTCAAGGTAGGCGGCAACACTCTGAGAAAGCAGACGGGAGCGGGCGGCGGCGGCGGCTCGTCCCGCGGACAGAGCACCGGCAGCACCGTGAGCAGCAAGAGCGGCCGCGACTCCGGCGGGACCGCCAGCAGCGAGGCGTCGACGGCCTCCCTGCCGCCGACCAGGGCGAGGTCGATACCGCGCCCCGGCAACTACCGCATCCAGTTCTGAGCGGATTTTGTACGCGACCTCGGACACCGTGGAGCCGAGCTCCAATGCGGCCGAGTTCGAGCCGAACGATTGCTGCTAAGCCTGCTCGCCGAGCCGAGCCGAATGTGACTGACTGAATTTACACAAGTGAGAACCAATCGTTCTCGATCGCTCGGTGAGTAAATCTTAGCTGGCATTGTTGGCTTCGACACGCTCAGAAGCTGGTCTCGAAACGCTTGATCTCGACGTTTTGTTCGACGGATTTTTGAATCTTTATAAGATAACCGTCCAACGAATATTCGTCTTGTATCCGAATCTCGACGGCTTTGGAGGGGATGAGTCCCTCCGACGAAGTCGGTTTTCCGACCGGTTGAGTTAGTTTAGGGTAAAATTATTGAAATTTCTGTAAGCTTGCGGTTCTGCAACGCAGTCCTAACGAATTCTCTCTTTCTCTCTCGATTTCATACGTATAATCGCAGCACTCGAGAGAGAATCTCACTGCTCTCGACGGAAGGATTCTGAGTTTTAATTGACTATTTAATTTATAATTTTAATTTTAATTTCTATTTTTTATTTATAACTATATTTTATTTAATTATAATTGATCTTAAATCAAAGAGTGCGACTACCAGACTGCTTCGCGGTTCGAGATCAATCACGTTTCGACGACCAGAGCGACGAGAGCCGCCACCACCACAAATGGGGGGTTGCACGCGGGGGAGTCCGGCTAGCGCGTGTCCGGCGCCGGAGGGTAAAGTACAAGTTTTCGCGAGGGACGATATCTCTCTCGCGCGCGTCGTCCCGACGTAGCCACCACGAGCTTGCGAGAACGCGAACGAGTAAGCGAACGCGATGCGAAGTTATGGCCATAACCCAGGAGGGAAGCGCCTAAGCTGGGCGCGTTTTCGCGCCATTTACGATTTACTATTCACTGTTTTAGTAAAGCCAATATATACGCCAGGCCATAAAAACGGACACGGACACCACGACCTATGGAAAAAAAAAAAACTAACGTAGCGACGTAGCATATGACCTAGTCATTACCAAAGTAACTCTCTCTCTCTCGGTAGAATAGGAAAGAAGAATTGTCTTCCCTGAGATATCGCGCCTCGCGCGTAACGGCGGCCTTTTTTTAGGGGGGCGAGAGAGAACGTCATAGAACTCCTCTCCCCCCCGTGCGAAGTGCCTTTCTCGCGGATCGCCTCGCGACGCGATCCGCCTCTTTGTTGCGAAAGACGTGCGTCTCTCCCCCGTTCTCCTTTTTCGCGAAAAGGAAAACGGGGGGTGCCGAAGGGTAATTTTCTTACCTACCCACAAAGTGGGAGGTGAGTGCGTTACGATTCCTCAGCCTCCGAAGGCTCGATCTTCCTGGACCGATAATCAGGTCTGGGATTGCCGAGGGAGGAGGGAGAGAAAGAGAGAGAGAGAAAAAGATCGAATCGCGAATGGGTGACCGCGACGACGCGCCTCTGCGTCCTGGCGAACACCGTTCTCCCTTCCTGCGTCTTTTTTTCGTTCATACTTTCTCTCTCTCTCTCTCTCTCTCTCTCTCTTTTTCTCGGTTTCGTAGTCGCAAGATACACGCACGCACGTTGCGCTCGATATAGAGACGATACTTCTTTTCCCTTAGCTTTATCTCGTAAATTGTAATAATCCTTCCTGAAGATCACACGTAGCTATAGAAAAAGTCGGATTATCTTATTTACCTTAGCTGTTATTTTGACGTTACTATTTTTTCAGGGCGCGCGACGATTAAGGTAGTCCCCTCTCCGCCCTCCTCCTCCTCATCCCCCGTGCTTAGAAGAACGAAGCGATAAGCGAAGGAACGCCAAAGTATAAAACTTTATCAGGTATATTGTCTCTTGCGATATATATGTATATATTTCTATATATCGTTACGTCCTTGTGTTCTTCCACTTTTGCTATAATATTCGCGATTTGCTGTATCTTCGATTGCTACGAAGCAAGAAAAAGATCTTCCCTAGGACTGTCGAATGATAAACATAAAGATATCTCGGCTAGTGACACGTGGAAAAACCTAAGCAGTAAAACGGAAACAATGAGCGAATCGGCCAATCACAGTTGAGAACACACACAGTTGAGATTTAAGGCGATAACGTAGTAAAAATTGATTTGCTACCGCTTATGTTTTTCTGTCACCAGCCTAAATAAGCATAAAGTGCCTTCCCGACATGTGAAGCGGGCTTCCGACATGACGGCTTTTATAATTCGTTAATCTCCTTGAATCAGTTTCCTATATTTATATGAAGAAGTTGAGAGTGAAATTAAAAAAAGAAAAAATATACATATGTATATATCGCAGAAGATTATATATATTTGCATATATAATATTATACAAGGTGATTCTTAATTATATGTTAATACTTCAGAGGGTGAAAATTCCTGATGTCTGTCGATTGATATTTCATCAATTCTTTTATTCCAAATTGGATTTCACGATTCTTTTCTTTCGCAAAACGTTCAAGATGTAAACGTACATCGTTACATTTTGGAGTAGAGTTAAATAAAGAAAGCGCTCACTTTTCGCTGTAATTCGTCTCTCTTTCAAGAATTTAGATAAAAAAATTAAGCGAGAGTTGAAAGGGTACACCAAGATTATTTGAAGAGATTTTAGAGACAACGCGCAATAAATATTTCGTGATCTATGTAAAAAAATAATCGATCGCGAGTTTGATTAATTAAATCGGATTAAAGTTTTGCATAATCTTATATCTTTTTAACTCTGATTTTTCGGGGATGTCGAAAAATGTAGGTATTGAAATGTTTGCTTAATCTCTTATAATTTTCTTAGGAAAAAAAGAGAAAAAGTATAAGCGCATTTTAATTGCAAAGTGAAGAAAATACTCGGAAAATTGAGATTTAATGCGACCTGTAATATTTAAATGAAAAATGGGCCTCTTGGTCTCTTGAATTCACCCCCTGAAGTAGAGAATATTTAATTACAGAATCACCCTGTGTATCATATAAATGTCTCCTAATATAATTTACCGTATTTATTTGTGTTACATATTGGAAATTAGTTATCTAATATATGCACGCGTACGCGCTTAATGTATATTTCCGTTTTCCCTCTAGCAGTTAAGCTGAAAATCTTCTTTCGAACTTGTAACATATACGAATACGGACCGATTGTGATGTAGCGCAGCTACGATACGCGCGTTTTAAGATAGGGCTCTCTAAAAAAAAGAAAAAAATAAATAAGAAATTAGCAACAGGTGTTACAAAATAACTGCGAGACGTACGTATCTCGCGAAATAGCGCGAGAGCTCCAATTCGGAATTGTCGAAGAAGGCCCTTGAATGAAAGCGGAGATGCGCGGTTTCCCTTCTGCGGGAGCGATACGTGGAACAACCCGACGAGTCGTGAGACAGGATCGCGCGTTGTGCACTGCTACACATGATGCCGTAATCGAGGGTGACAAACAGATAGACAATCTTGCGTTCAACGACACGGAATACCGGCGCACGTTTCCGCCCTTATATTCCGATCTTTTTTTCTCTCTTATAATCTGTCTCTAATCCAGCTACGCGAAAATTGCGAATCGCAACCGATCGGCTTCGTTTCTTCATCATCCCCCCCGACTTCGTTTTCCCGTCTCACGACCGGCGCGCGCGGGGAGAGACGGAAGCGGGCGAGGTGAGGATATCGCGAGGATCCAGTGTGTCTGGGTGTATGTGTGCGTCTGTATGCGTGTGTGTGTGTGTGTGTGCCTTCCTGCACGTGCAAGAATACCAAATTGCGACGTCACCAAAGAAAACGAGAGAGCGTCTACCATGCGAGAGCCCGCGGGCTGCGTAGCTCACCTGCGTGTCCGCGCGTAAATGATTTTTGTTATCGTTCCTAATGTAATATTCTCGCGCGCGCGAATTGAAGCGGAACATGCAGGACTCGAGAGACGGGCGCTTTCGCGAGAGATCTATGCCTCCTCCCTCAAGTCGGGCGGGGCGGCGGCGCCCGAGACCAGTATCCAGCCGCCAGATCGATTTTTCTTCGCTCTCTATTTTTGATACGATTGTATTTCGACAATCCGTTTCCGGATTTCACTTCTCACCGTCGTACTCGCTCCACGGCGATGCGTCACGTCGAGATCCGCGTTGCCTCGTCGAATGAAGCCCCCCCCC